CTTTGTCGATCTGCCTGTTCTGCTCCCCACTCTGTCTCTGGTGAAGCCTCTCGCCGCCCCTGAGCCTCTGGCCTGTACTCCAATTCTGTATGTACCAATAAATAAATCTTTAAAAAAAAAAAATATTGCCACTGCTCAGTACTAGAACTTCAATTTCATTCAATGATTTTAACGCCCAAACTGGGTTCATCAGGTTTCTAGTGATTCCTAAAGGCAGAAAGATACTGGCTGTCATTTCCTTCTTGCATTTCTAAGCAAGTTCTAGGTGGCTTCAGTTTCTTTTTCAGTAAAATAAATGGTCATAGAAGAAGTATCTAGAAGCAAGACCATCATGCCTATTTCTTCTTAGAAGTAGTTTTCGCATATCTGCTTTTGCTACTATTAATCTTTCACTACTATTAAATCTTACCCCTACTACTTCAGTCTCAAACAGTGGTTCTTAAAGCGAAGTGCACTTGAAAATTATCTAGAGGTTTCTTGAGTCACCATGTGCATGCAGATCAGGGCCTAGGTTTGTGAGTTTTAGAAAATACTGTTTGGGTGGTTTTAAATGTGATTGTAGCCTACTGTTATATGAAGTCCCAACTTACTGAATTAAAGGTACACTTACGATCTAGCTTATTCAGTAATGCCACTGAAATCTACAAAGGTTTCTGAATTAAGAAACGTTCATGTTCATTACTGGAAAGATCTAGGTTTGCAAAATATTTTTCTTCTGAAATTATCTTCAGAATAATCATGTCTAAGAGATTATCTATTTAGTTAAGTTTACTTTGTAACAGTATAGACAGTTGTGTTGGATTTGACCTGGTTAGTAAATTATACATACCTATGCACTTCCTATTTTAGGATTGACAGCCAGGAATACAGGCAATCCTAAAAATGAGTATGTTGCAATAAAATTACATTAGATGCAAGGAGTGAGGCATAAAGTGCCAGTAATTTGGAGAATATAAAAGGCCTAGACTCTTATTTTAATTCCAGTCCTTGCCAACACTTAACCTGGACAAGTCTTTTGCCCAAGACCTCACTGTTCCTCCATCTCCCCATGGTTGGGGATCTACAGGACCTAAAAACCTGTTCTTTTTCTAAAAATATTATTACACTAAAAATGAAAACATGACATTTTGAATTCTTATAATTATACTACATAGATTCAAACTGTTCTTCTTGTAACCAGGATTGTTCAACTCCTGCTTCATTCAATTAATCCATTAACTCCCCTAGGCTATTATGTTCTATTTCAGTTTACAAACTATACGTATACATATATCATTCAATATTTGCAATTCTATTAAATAATCTGGGGATGTATTACTATGTCTACTTTACAGAAAAGGAAACTAAAGTTCAGAAAGTTAAGGACGTGCTCAAGACCACATCAGTTAAATATTAGTACTACTGGGGCTTCCCTGGTGGCTCAAGGTGTAAAGCTGCAGCACTATGAAGCTTTTAGCAGCCACTGCAGCATGAGCTTGATCCCTGGCCAGGGAGGTGACCCACATGGCACAGCAGACCTCTCCTGTCTTGCCCACAGGCCCCCTCAGCAAAGTATTTCAGTAGATCCACCTATTCTGTTACCCACTCTACTCTGGTGACTCCTCTTACCGTTGGCACCTTTGGCTTGCACCCTAGTTCTTGTATGCATGAATAAATAAATCTTTAACAATAAATAAATGAGGTTAAAGCACTGCATTATGAAGCTCTTTGAAGCCACTGCAGCATGAGTTCGATCCCCAGCCAGGGAGCTGACCCACATAGTGTGGCTGGCAGACCTCTCCTGACTGTCCTGCTGCTCCCCTCAGCAGTGTACTTTGTCAATCTGCCTGTTCTGCTCCCCACTCTGTCTCTGGTGAATCCTCTCACTGACACTGCACCTCTGGCCTGTACCCCAGTTCTGTAAGCATAAATAAATAAAAATGAAAATATAAATAAATAATATCAGCTCTACTAAGTTCAAAAGCACTTGCACTTTCTTATATGTGCAAGCGAAGTACCTAATAATCAGTTCCACTGTCCCATGATTATCTCCTGCTGTTTATAAACATATGGCACTAAAAACAATTGTACCACTTCAGTGGCCTCCATAGAGTCCAAAAGGAATTTTGATGATCCTAAAATTATATTCTTTTTACAAGCAGGTTTAGTCAAAAAGCTTATTCAACTGTTAGGAAGAGAGTTAGGTTATGAACAATGAGACCATGAACAAATATTGAGATTCAGTATATTTAAAACCAATCAATAGGCATACTTTTTAAGAACATACTCCCTTCCCCAAAACAATTTATCCTTGGATTTCTTTAATGCTATCTATGCTAAAAGCCACTTAAGTATATCACGTATATACAGACTAGCTATACTGTATCATATAGAGAACCACAAAATACATGGTTTTCTTTTCATAAATGAAAAAAGTAAAATTCAGAGGGTAAATATCTCAATAAATGTATCCACAGTGAAAAATATGCTAAACCAGTATCAGAAGAACCAAAAATTAAGGTTCAGGATTTTCAGTGTAGACTGTTTGCCACTTACACAGCAATACTTCTTAACAGCTTAGGCAGACTTCTTATCCCTCCTTTTTTCACACGTCACTGAGGAAGACTGGCCACATGTGAAATTCCAAAGAGGTAGAAAAGAGGTGAAAGGGCTACAGTCACCCTAGTATGTAGCTCTGGCATTATTTCTCAGCTACTGAATTAACAGTGGCGATGTACTGTGGACATCAGGAGGGATGGGGCATAGGTAAGCAGAAGCATACAGAGGAGGGAGTTTGCCTAGAGAAAGGTTCCAGTTCTGATCTCACTATCCTTCTTGGGAGTCATTTCAAACCTGTCCATCTGAGTTTCATCATTTCATTAACACTCCTCTATAGATGAACTACTATGCACCAGATATTGTTAAAGGTCCTGGGAAAGTGACAGCACTTAGATTCTAGTTAGAGTAATAAACGCATAATATGCAGGATGGTATTAGGTAGCTACTAGCTACATTGGCTATTGAAATTAAATAAAAATTGAACAATCTATTTCTAGACAAATTTCAGGTCCTCAGCAACTACATATAGCTAATGGCAACTATACACTGCAGTGCAGGTACAGAATATGTTCATATCTATCACAGAAAGTTATTTGAGTACTGCTGAGATAGGTGGCAAGAGATGCTGTATTGAGGGAAAGTCTCTCTAATAAGGAGACTTTCTAAATACAAATCTGAATGAGTAAGTATAGTTGCTAAATGAAGTAACACTTTCCAAACAAAAGAAAATCAATCATTTTGGTATGTTGTAAACACTTTACTGTGAGGAGCCCTTTCAGCATTAAAATTTGGATTCAAAGTTCTTAAAAAATTTTGTTCAAGATTTTTGCTTTCTTAGAATACTACATGGTCCAAAAAAAACCCCATTTTTCTTTTGCAAAGTTTTACTTCTGCCTTATAAATGCACTTACTAAAGGCCAACATAAGAAATATGGAATAGAGAACATTTTCCTTTTAGTTCCTTTAAAAGTCAGAAAACTGAATATTTTAAACTTCTGCAGCTGTTTCCTCCAGACTCCAATATCACTCCTCACACTAAAGGTTTCTGTCTTTCTTGAAAGCCTAAATTATCTTTCCCAAATTCACTGAACACCTCTAGATTAGCATCATTGACACTGAAGTTATTTTTAGTGATATTTAAGCATACTAGATTAATCAGGTGAACTAACTTAGAAAATGATGTCATCAATGACCACTAAAGCAATACATAATTCTAAGACAATAAACCAATGTATTATATTACCTTTCTTAATCAGAAAGTAATGTGCTCACCATCTTATATCTTAAATCCCAGGGCTCTCATACACTCCTTGTGGGCCTCAATTAGGTGTCCACAGTGTTCTTCTCCTTTCTCGATGATGCTACAAAAATAAATAAACTTATTATCTAAGAATGTAGGCATTAAGCACATCAGCAGTAAGCATGCTCAAGAGTGATGGGAATGAGGTAGAACACGAACCTGGTGGAATGTAGCTGGAGTAAAAAAAAAAATGCTATTACACCAAATAGCTGTTTTGTTGTTGTTTTGACTCTTGTAATATTTCCATGTCCCAAAGATAGGTTTTTGTTGGGGGGTGAGGTGGGGAGTAGGGAACCTGATGAATTATGCCTATCAAATACCGCCTCTAGTTCCTATCTAAAGAATAGTATCACTTTGTAATGAGCTAAACTGACAATAAAATATATACACTCAGTGGAGGAGGAAAAAGGTTAATTTTCTGTCTGCTAACACATAGGAATTACATTCTTGATTCTTATCTATTTCTATACTTGTATTTGTAGATTTATCCTCATTTCCATTCAAATACTTGAATCATAAGACACCCAATAACACAAACAGTAAAAGATCTGGCAGCCAGGAGCAGCAGCCTGGTAAGCCCCCTTCATACGCAAAGAATTTACTATTTGCAAAATTCACACAGACAAGCTTTATTTCTAGGGCCTGCAAATGTGATTTTAGCAAAGAATCAAGTTAAGCCAAATTCAATTACAAGAAAAAAATGACTCCTGACTACTGATAACTGGGGAGAAGCCATGCCGGCAGCTGGTGAAAAGGGAATTTAAAGGTAGACAGGTATTTCTTCCATCTAAATCTTCCACATCCTTCAATAGCTCAAGGGCAGTCTGCACGTGAGTGACTGCTGGACATGTACTGAATGCTGTAAATACTGTGCTAGGCTCTTGATGTGGTTTAAATCATTAACCTCTGCAATAATCCCGGAGGCAAAAACTTTCATTAGTTACATTTCAGTTATATAAAGCATATGTTAAGGAATTTGCTCAAGGTCACAAAAGTCGAGGGTAGATTCAAACCTTGACTCTGGACCACCATACATCACACTATTAGAAGGTTCAATAAGCACTGACTGTTACTACGGAGGCAATTTCATTACAGAAGGTAGCCTTTCAATTCTCCCTTCATAATGTTATTTGCAAAACACTAAATATTAATAAAGAGCAACGAACTCCTGCACGCTTCTGTATTACCCTGATATACCACTTACGATTTCTTTACTTTTATGTGAGAAGAATAAAGAGCTGGTGGGAGATGTGCACATTCACATCTGAAAAATCCTTCTACTAAGATTTGTTCCACAACAGAATCCATACAAAGTCTTCCTTCTGTGGACTGATGGTAATATACACGCAGTTATTCCAAATACTGTCAACTACACTGTAGACTAGCTGATTTTAAAACACCTATCAAAAAAGAATGGGAACTCTTTAGTACTGTAAGGAATATTCCCTATATTCTGGCACCTTCATATATTGAAAAAAATCAACAGAAAATATTTATTATTTGGTCTCGCCAATATTTTAAACTTCCCTTGGCTATGATTCTGACTCTATAGATTTTTGCCTTCCTTGAAGGTCGAAAGTGTTTCCCAAAGACTTCCTCTCGACTTACTAGAATCATTACTTCTCTACATTCGGAACTTAAATGTTTTTTTTTTTGTTTTTTTTTGAGTGCTACCAAAGCATGGTAACCAGATGAACTACCTTACCTACTGAATGTTGCTAACGATCGCTACATCTGTAAAACACACCACAGCCCTACCATGTGGCCTAACAAACACTGGTGTGTGTCCGTTACTTTGAAGTTCCTCTAAATCATGTTGTACCTTTATGCAGCCCTACATCTAACAACCTAACACGGTGCTTGACACGTCCTGTAGGAACTAGTGGGGGAAGCGAGCCAGAGTTAATCTGTCCTTTACTCCAATACCTTCCTCCATTTCCCTTGGCTGAGCTAACTCTGTCACTAGCCGACCGCGAAGCCTACGGGGCCCTATAATTCCTAAACGCGCCGCATAGCAAACGGGGGCCACGATCAACCCAAGGAGGGGCAGAGGCATAGGAAGGCGCAGCGGGGGCTGGCGGGCCGCCCCTCCCCGGCAGCGCACTGACCACGCATCGCGCGCCTTCTTGGTCTCCGGGCAGGCGCAGCAGGGCTTCAACGGCTTCTTCTCCTGCGACTCAGACGGGGCAGGGCTTGCGGCTGCCAGACCCGGCATGTTTGGCGCCGAAATCAGCGACTTGCACAGACACCCTAAACTCTCCCAGCGCCGATTCGTCCACAGCTACTTCCGCAGTCGCTTTGAAAAAGGGCAGGAAGTCCCGCCCCTCGCAGGGAAGAACCGGCGGTGGGGGGTGGGTGCAAAGGAGAAGGAGGAGGAAGTAGCTTTTTTGTTTTTTTGAAGGCGCGTGCGCAAAAGAGGCTCTAGCAAAGCTTGAATGCGAGGGCTCCTTTTTAACGCAGGCGCAGAGGCGGTGAAAGGGTTCCAGGAGTTTCTAAGTCAACGCGGCAAGAACGTTCAACTCTAAAAAGATGAGACTTGAAAGGCAGTTTAGGGGTCCCTCATCCCTTCTACTCCGCACAGGTGTAAAATATGCATTAAGGTGAAATGACTTGTCTAAGCGAAAGAAAAACCACTAGTGAAAGCCGGTTCCCTTTAGCTACAAGCTAGTTCCCCATATTTCACGCTGGGAAACTGTCTCCCATTGCGTTTCGCTGACCTAGTTAAAAGTGAACAGCAGAACCAATTTAACAACTTAGTCCACAAGTGTTAATCACCCAAACCACCCCTATCCTCCATACTTTTTAAAGCCTTAGGTAACTAGAATTTTTACCTTTGCAAAGGTTGATTTCAGCAGAAATTAAATTGAAAAAACGTTCCCCATTTGGATTTCTTGAATTCAGTTAGGTAAGTAAGAACTGGTGTCTATATTGTTTGCAAAATCGTGAATATAATAACATGGATTTTTTGCCGTCCCCCCCCCCCCCCCGCAGAAATGTTTGAGAAAGGGAGTTTTTATCCTGATCCGCGAGTGAGGACTGGCTTTACCAACAGGTAGCAAATTTTGCATGACTTTTCACAGACTTCAAGTTGGCTTTGCTCTCTTGGCTGCTCAAGCAGGTCATTTCCAGAACATTTTACAGGATGTTCCCAGAGTGTAGACGGATCTTGCGGGTGCCCACTCTGGAAGGCAGTTAGGCAGTATCTAGCTAGTTTAACTACAATGACTCGGCAATTTTGTTCCAGTATATATTCCAAAGAAGTTCCTAGCAGCTCTATTAGGGAACATGTATGGGGATAACTGACACAGCACGTTTGTGTGGCAGGGAACTGAAGGCAATCTGTGCATGATTATTGGGGAGATAGAAAGGGAAATAGAAAGCACTGATTATAAACTATAAGAAATTGACAACATATATAAATGGTAATGTTGGAGATATTGACACCAGAGGGCCCTTGGTGTCTTGTGGAAAAAAGAATTATAGGAGGTACCAAGTACTGGAGTAAAGCAATAAAGTTTATTTAAAAGAGACTATAAAATAAAGTACTCTGCATGAAGCAACAGATGGTCTTGGAAAAGCTGGAGAACTGCCCAGAGGGTGTAAAGCTAAAGAGTTTTTGTGATCTTTTTCTTCTTGGAAGGGGTCTCTTTTGATTATGTATACATGCTTTTGCTGCCTTCCTTCGTCCTGATTCCAGACTAATTGAAACTGGAGATAACAGCCAATCAGAGATCAGAGGTGAAGGAAGGCCGTCTAATGTCAAAATGGAGAGATGCAATTAAAAAGAAGGTTGTGAAAAGGGTAAGTAAACCAGCCCAGAACTGCTGTTCCATTATGGACTGGAGCTGTCAGATAAGTTTGGGCTCTTACCAAACCTCCTGATCCCAGATCTTTTCCAGTCCTTGAGACTATGCTGCAACAGCCCCAGCTCCAATGTGGAATGCAGAAATGCAGCTGTGGCTGGGAGTGTGTGAGAGCCCCTTTCTATCATCTCTAACTGTAACAAGGATAAATTTTAAAAACAACATAGATATGGAGGAAAAGGATAAGAATAAACATAGTCAAATATGTGTATATATAAATTTAAAGAAAGGTACAATGTAAAAAATACACATAAGAATACATGCATGAAAAAAGATTTGCTTTATAATGGAATGATTGCCTATGAAGCTCGGGAAAGAATGGGAACAAACTTTTTTTTTAAAGTAACTGTGTAGGGTCCAAAAATGATGTGTCATCCTCAGTGGAGCATAATTTAGTGATCCTCACTTGTAAAACAAGGAATGTTATGCCAATGGCACCCTTCCAGATAGTTTGGAAAACATTGCTTCATTGTGTAGAACTGTAATTTAAGATTTTAATGTCTTAAACTTGCACTGCAGTTTTAGGTAATTTGGAACAAAGTAAGTTTTATTCTAAGGGCTTAAGTCATTTCCTTAACTTTGAAGTAAAAATAATCATTTTGTTCTAAAGAGCTATTGTGCTATAATAAGCTGACCATGCTTATTATAGTTCCTCAGTAGCTAATACATAGTGGGCACAGTTTAAGTCCTTTTTACTTAGAGGAATTATTCCTATAAAGCTTTATTTTGCCTTGTTGTTATAAGGAATCTAGAAGTACCCTCCCCTCCACTCCCAGGGAAGAGTTCTCTTAAGCAAAACACAACACAATAAAGAAAATGTTTGAACTAATTTCCCTTCTAGTACTTTTCCACAACTCTTACATTGCCACTGATAATTCTTAGTAGAAAAGCAAATTTTTTAAAAAATACACTCACTGAGAATGTATAAGCAGTTGAGATAACAAGATGTTTATCTATTATATCTTCCTTATACAAGTGGAACTGTTGAGCTCGTGAGCTCACATTTAATCTTCATAGCAGTTAAACATACCTACATTTATGGTTGAGAATGCTGAGTTTCAGGGATGGAACTCGATTTGTTCAGCACCATATAAGTCTGGAAGTAGTGTTAGTGTGCTCCTTCCTTTCTGAGCACTGTGACTGTTACACTCTTTCGACTGCTTCTTAGGAATGGAATATTCTCTTTCCCTTGAAGAGCAGAGCAAAAAATTACTCCTTTCCAAAGTAAAGTATTTATATCCAGCTAAACTGTCTTCTTGTTTCAGAATGGTACAGCTAGCCCCAAGATGTGGGCTACTTTTTCTCCTGCTTTTTGATTTGTAAATAAGCAAGTTTTAAGGTCAATTATTTGTTTTTATACTAACATCATTCTTTGGGTCAAACACTACACGACATACACTTCAGCGACATCTTTAAAGACAGAGCACCCAACGCCACAATAGTGAAGGCAAAGATAAATAGATGGGACTACATCAAGTTAAAGAGCTTCTGTACAGCAAAAGAAACATTACTAAAAACAAACAGAAAGATCACTAATTGGGAAAACATTTTCTCACACAAAAGTAGCGATAAAGGACTAATCACAAAAATATATGGAGAACTGATGAAACTCAACAAAAATACTAACATCATTCTTTATTTTTCTTACCCAGCTTAAATGCCTTTAGAGTTGTAGTAGTAATAAAGGTAAAGTAAGAATATAAGACATGAGATTTAGGGTTTCCATTCTATTCCAGAGAAAAGTCTCAATCCTACTTTTCCCAAAAAAAACATGACAATTCCAGAGAGCTGTAATTAGGGATTAAACTAAGAGTAGGAGCATGCACATTAAGTCATCTGTTTTATAGAGGGACTTCAAAAGTTACTTTGGTTAATAGTTTTGGGTATCAAGTTCTAGTTTCCCATTCTAACTTTAACTACAATTCTTTACATTTAAGCCATGGGATCTTTGTTATTCTAACCAGTGGAATATGTAGTTAGCTATAATTGCTACATTAGTGGGCAGCAAGACTTGAAGTGGTGATTGTAATGTTTTGCTTTCATAAGACAGTTAATAGGTCAATGTATGATACTGAATGGTGATACTGGCTAGCAGTGGCATCAAATAGTTATTCTGTGGACAGGATAACATCCTGGGTAAAGTAACAATTAAGGAAATAATTTCTAAACTCCTTCCATGATAAAGGTGGTTTTGGCCATTGTTTATGTGTAACTAATCCCAGGTATGAAGACTACCAGGTAAGGATGGGTAGCTGAGATTGGTAGAGAAGGAGTGACACCATATGCTGAGAGAGAAGAACTACAAGGCTTAAATTTCATTTGCTTAGTTGGTAGGTTCAGAGATAATTTTGTATAGTATTTACATTTCTACCTCTGCTAAAAATAAACAATAAGAAGAATGGGAGTGGGGTGAGAAATATGATGGGAAGAAGGAACACAAAGTGGAATATTTAGCTATCACCACAGACTTACATTATAACACTGTACTTCATTTGTTTCTGTTTTCACTATCATCCAGTGAGCTGTACAAATTATCTCAGAATTGTCCACACCTATTACATAGTGATACATTTGTTTAATAAATGCTGGATTTATTAATTTAGGAATCATTTTCTTAAGTTTTCTTGCATCAGAAACTTAAGTTACTTGTATAAGTAACATCAAACTAGATTATAATTCTCCTCTCTCAGCTACCCATCCTTACCTGGTAGTCTTCATTCCTGGGATAAGTTACTTGTACAAGTAACTTAAGATAAAAAAATGGCCTTGTGAAGGCCTGTCCCTTTAATGAACTCAGTTTTAGAAGGAGAGGTGTAATCACTGACATAGATGGTCAATGCTGTTGATGCTACAATAGCATAGGAAGAAAGAACGTAATTGTGCTCTACTTGGGATATTTTGGGAATCTACATAAAGGTGGCAAATTTAGCTTTTAAATTTTGAAGGATAACTAGATTAGTTGGGGTTATAAATGGAAAAGCAGTTTAGGCAAAGGAATGGACTTGGAGATAAGAATATATGTGACTGGTTTGCAAAAGCCCCAAGAAATTCAAGGAGTTAAAAAAAAAATAAGTCAGCTTAGCCATAAAGTGGATCACATCAGACAGACAAAGGAACCAATTCTCTCCTAATACCGCTAACCTGATACCATAGCTTGAACATCATAAAGAAAAATAATAAAAAATGGATTAATATCAGATGTTTAAAAATACATAGTGATATTAAAATTCATAATGATAAAAATTCAGTGATACTAAACACCACAAACTTAGAGGTTACAATGGAAGGTTGCTAAAGCAACAGCTAATTTCTCTGAAATTTGATAATTGAAAGTGAAAGAAGCCTGCATTTATCCAATCTTTCTTTTATAATCTGTGTAAAAGAATCCCCACGTAATAGATTATAGAAAGTATTAAAACTACTGTTCTAGGATAAAATACTGAACCTTTTTTCTACCTTTTAATTGGACCAAATCAACTATTAAATGACAGCCTGGATTTAACCAGGAAAAGCTGAATATGTAATCTTAGATAAAAAGAGGAAATTGTTTTTGCTACATTTGCTAATGATCGACTTTTAAATATCCAAATATCCATTTCACTTTGAAATGCAGGTTATTGACTGTAAAATAATATTCTGGGATGTGTTTTAAAGTATTTTTTAAAGGGGTTGGGGATGAAACTAGATTGGCAAAATATTCATATGGAATCATTATTGCCTATTTTACGTTTTCCACAGTTTTTAGAAGTAGTGTTGGTGCCTATACCACATCATCTTCAGTTAAATTAATGCCCAGGGCTCGGTAGATCAGGAGCTAGACTACCATGACCACCCTAATGCTGATGTCAGCATCAGCAGACCTCACACTGTGCCAAAGCACCATGTTCAGGAGCTTGGACTCCCCAGCATGTTGAACAAGCCCTGCGGGAAAGGCTCTCTGACTTGAAAACCTCAACAATTCTGGAATGTTCTGCGATTGCCTAGAGATTTCTTAGTCTGTGGGGGCCTCCTATAATCGCAACTGAATTTGTACAGCAGCTTTCTCCCAATGTTGACCCTGAGCGGGCAGCAGGAAGCTGTCTCAGGAGTGTAGTGAGCGGCGAGGCTGTCCCTAGCCCGCCCTGCTACTTCCTTTTCTCACACACGCCTTGCGTTTGCCTTTCCTTTCACTTCTCTTCACTCCTCTTCCCTTTCTGCTTCCTTTTCTTGCTCATTCTCGTCCCACTCTCTGCTCCTCCCCATCAATTCCAAGGCTCCCCCTACCTCCGGTCCATAAACCCCCGCCCTTCCGCCAATAGCCCCGCCCCTTCTCCCTGCTCCTTGCCGCTCTCCTTAAGTCCCGCCCCTAGCGTTTGTTACCATAGCTACCGTGCACCGCTGCTGCTTGGCCGCAGCAGTTGTTTTTCTACTTAGCCTAAGGAAGAAGAGCTGACACCATGAACCAAGTAGTGACCATCGAGACCCAGGACCTGCCACAGTTGCCTCAAACTCCGAGCACGAAGAAGCCGGCCCCCTCGGGCAACATCTCTTCCAGTCGACCTTATGATTTTCTGTACGGTAAGGGAGTCCCCAGGGTTCCTTCCTAAGTTATCTACCGCTGGCCCAGGTGACTTTCAAGTATATGGACCTCACCCAGGGCTTGGCCAACAAAAGAAAAGCCTTCTGTTATTTGCTTGTGGTTGTCCTTTGTTCGGAGAAAAGGGTGGGCAGCAGCGCGTGGTGTAGGTGGCAGTGCACACCTCTCAAAGTCTCAGGTGAGCCACCTGCTACCTACTGGTAGGTCTCTGAGAGCCACCTGCGTGGGACTACCTTACTCGTCAATACCCCTTTATCCTGCTCATTCCTGAAACCTATTTCACATCTTTTGGTATCCAGGATCATATGCAATGATGCAGACTTGGGATAGTCGCTCAATATCCCCACGTTCAAACTGTGTAAAATGCCCAGCCAGGATGACCTTCCTGCTCCTATTCTCTGAGCAAGTCCAAATGTGCCATTCAAGATAAAGAAGTACCATTTATCCCATCTTTTGTTTTAGTGTATTTTTTAATTTTAACTTACTCATGTACATAAAAACGTCAAATTAAAAACTAAGTCCACTGGATTCTTTAGTGTCAGTAAAGACCCAGTTTATTTTAAAGCCTTGATTGTCCATTTATGTTCTATTTTTTTTTGTTCTATATATTTTTCTATATATAGAAAATATTCATCTCAGCACCTATTCCAATATTGGTACAGATGCTAGTGCTTCATAAACATTTATTCAACTTAATTATAATCAATCTTTTTTTTTTTTTTCCAATTTTGTCCTCAGTAGTCCTAGGCTCTTCACTTTGAACCTTGCATTGCTTTCAACCACATAATGTCCCCTCTAGAATTCCCATCTTCTCCTTTGGATGGAAATCTATGAGTTACCTACCTTCTGGTATAAGGCCTAAATATATTCTAACCTATTGTGGCTACTGGTTTTCTATTGCCACTCTTAGTTTTATCTTGTAAAATAAATCTAGTAAACTCCTATCACCATGTTTGTTTCAAAGGTAATTTGGAAATGGTGATATTATCTTCAGTAAATACAGGCAAATAATTTGTTGAACTTGATTTTTTATAACTGTAAGTATCTCTCTTTCTCTCACTCTTTTCTTGCAGGGGGATGGCTAATGCCCCTTGCAAGGAACAAAAACCCACTCAGGTCAAATGAAAGTTTGGATTGTTGAAGTAAAACAAGCTGTCTCATAGCTTTTCATGAACAGGAAGCATAATATAGGTAGGACAGACTGAAACCAGGACAGGGAAGATCAGAACTAAGGTGCCTTCTGCTGGCACATATTAAAAAAACCTCCAACAAGCTTGGAGAGGATATGTTGAAACAGAAACCCTACCACACTGTTGATGGATGTAAACTAGTTCAACCATTATGGAGGACAATATAGATTTATCTTAAAAAATAGAAATACCATATAAGGCAGCAATTCCACTTCTAGATATCTATCTAAAGAATGTACAACCATTAACATAAAACCTCATATCTTCCACAATGTTTATAGCAGCATTATGTACAATAGCTAGTTATGGAAGCAGCCTAAATATCCATTGATGGATGATTGGAATAAGAAGATGTGCTACATCCACACCATGGACTATTATATAGCCATAAAAGGATGAAATGCAGTCACTTTCAACAAAATGGAGAGCCTTCGAGAGAAATATGTGTAGTAAAGTAAGTCAGATGATGAAAACAAATACTGGACAGCTATATAGCTAACAATTTAACAAAAACCAGTGAGCATCAGTAAATATAGTGAAGCTCTGCAGTTAAGAGGAATGAGGAGGAAAGGGTATAAGAGGATAAAAGAATGGTGAAGGGGGGAAATTCTAAACATTTGATTAAATGAAATATCCCAGAGTTGCAATGCGTACAGGTGAAGAGTTAAAGTTTGGAATCAGAAAGCCGGAGTTTAATCCCCAGCTCTATTACTGAATAGCTTCAGTCATCTGCATACTTTATCTAAGCCCTTTGAACATTGTCTTTTCTCATCTGAAAAAAATGGACCAAGTATGGAATTGTTGCACAGAATAAGTAAATTAGTACAAAGTAAAATGTGTTTGTTTATTAATGTCAGCAATTATTTGTATATTTAAGATAATATGTACAAAAAAAAAGAGAGATAAAAGAGATTAGGTCTGTTCCTGAAGGTTGCTTGTGAATTTAATGTTAAAGATTTATTTATGCTTGGAGAACTGGGGTACAGGCCAGAGGTGTGGTGGGTGAGAGGATTTGCCAGAGACAGAGTCTGGCACAGAACAGGCAAATCTACTGAAATACACTGCCGAGGGGAGCAGCGGGAGGGTCAGGAGAGGTCTGCTGTGCCATGTGGGGTCAGCTCCATGGCCAGGGATCAAAGTGCTGAGGTGGCTTCAGAGAGCTTCAAAGTGTGATGCTTTAACTGGTTGCACCACCAGGGAGAGCCCTAAATTAGATGATTTTTAAGAGATGCTATAATCAGTCTTGAATATTCTTTGTCACTTTATGGCTATACCTACCAAGGACATACTTAAAATAGCAGAACAATCTCTTGAACTTTGGAGAAATAACTTAGCCCCAGCATCAACAATCTTATAAACCTAAAGGTGAATCCTGAAAATAGCTGATCTTGTTGATCTCTTATTAGAGAATGACATTTTGTACCATAGCTACCAATCCTGGGTGCTGTTAAGGGTTTGTATCTTCCCTGTATACTGAATATGGGATGTTATGCCCAAATTTATTCATTCTTTCACTTGAAAATGTATATATGCACTTAGTGCATATGTGCATATAGCATGGTGTTTCCTCTAGGAGTATTTCTTGAGCTATCGAGAACCAGAAGGTTTGCTCAGAGGAGACAGAAGAATGTGTTAGGTCTCCTTTTCCATTCCAACTCTACAAGCTGACTATGGAATACACAGGAAAGAAAATGCACTAACAGATTCTACTGGGTGGTAGAGAAACAGTGCTATGAGTACTGCAGAGAATAGCCATAGCTACATTTTCTAATGTGTTATTCAATTAAGAAATTATATTGCTTTGCCATGATTATTATTATTATTATTATAGTAGATATATTCTGTTTCTTATATACCTTATTCATTTTACAGATCCATTGTTTACTGTGTCAAGTGAGAAAGACCACAAAAAGGCAAATATGCAAGTCACCCTGATTCGAAACAAACTGGTAAGTCTAATACATCCACTGGTGAGTCTAATGGAAACTTTACCTCATCCCTTGAACCCTAGCCATCTACTTTGTTAACTTACTGATCGGACTGACTAATCACTACATCCCTACTAAATTTTATATTCTGCTGAAACTATTTTACAATTATCTGGATATTTGTAACCCACTATGTAGATTAATTTTAATAATGAATAAAGGACTCAGTAGAACCTAAGTTAGTTCAGTGGGAAATGTAACAAATGCCTGTGGTAAAAGAATTCAGGTAATACAAAAGCATATATATTATTAAATAAGGTCTCTTCCTTAGCTTCTTTCACATAATTAGCCAATGCTATCATTTTCTTGGGTATCCTTCTAGAGATATCTATGCACATACCACAACCCTTCTTTCTATTCAATATATGCTGTTTTGTAACTTTTTTTTTAATCTTACAATGTAAACTTTTATAAGTGCTTTAGAAAGTCTGAGAGTATAAGTATGTTCTTCCTCCCTGCCTCCTTTTCCTAACATTAGAGGAGAGTTCCCAGGTTCCGAACCATGTTCAGTAACCTGATCCATTATCCGAGATATTCTCTGTATTTGAGCAAGACAGACCCTGTGCCACCATTTATCAGTCGGGAATGGAAGAGACCTGAGGAGAAACATAGAGAAGCTCTTCAGCAACTTGCTGCGTATGTATTACATATTTTCAGCTACTAAAAAATCTTATGTTTCTAGTGAATGTTTTTTCTTTTTCAAAATTTTGTATTTATTTTAAAAGGTACAGTTGTGATCTTCTACTTAGGTCAGTTGACCCCAGATTATCTCTCTATAACCTCTTTGAGTAACTCACACCTGATTCAAGAGCAGTGGTTACAGATTTATTGATTAGATATTCTTTCTTGGTTAGTAGATGTTCTTGAACATTGCTACCAAAGGAAGAGATTGACTGAATTTGTTCATTGATCCATCTTAGAATTTGCAAGTGTACCCTTCTGTTAGTATGTCTATTTTTTTTTTTTGAGATTTGAACTTCAGAAACAAATCTTTTGAACACTTTGATATTTTAATTATTTACATGCTTTATCTGTATATTAGAAAAGAGTGCTACCATTCATCTTGGATGTAAAAAGTTGCCTATGTTGTTCTAATGCTGTTAGTTAAAAGTGAACATTTTTGTATGTGAGGTTTTATAAATCTTAACCCTTGCGTCTTGCTATATAATCTGAGATGTAGATCAGATGCATGTTAGAGAAGATTTTTCTCTTATTCTAAGACACCAATTATGTCTCCTATTTATAGATGTAGAAATATTAAATATAAATACTATTTGGAAATAATGCTTAAGACTAAAATGATATTTTTCTGCTTTATTTTAGAATTGACCGCTATTTTCAGATGCCTGAAGTGTATGAAGATCCTCAGGTTACTGGAAAGAATCGCTATAAATATTTTGAAAGGTACAAAGTAATCACTAATGAATATGAACCCTAATATTATTGGAGAGCCTCTTTAGAATGATAGTCGCTGTCATTTTTAAGTGCAAGAAATATGCCAGTCACCATTTTAAGTGTTTTACATATGTATTATCAATTTTCATAATAGAAAAGTAAGATAGGATATATTACCTTCATTTTTTAACCAGTAAAAAAGCTGAGACAAGGAGATGAGCAGTCAATTGCTCAAGGTCACATAGTTCGCCAGTGACAGAGCCAGGGTTTCAGCTAAGTCCTCCTGACGTCAGAGGTATTAGTTGCAAATAAGAATGGATAGTTGAGGACAAAATAAAGTCATCAGACAAAGTGAGATACAGCAGAGATTCCATGACAGGCGTGGGGAAATTTTAAAAGTGGATGAGTAGGTGCTATTTGCTCTCTTTGAGTAATGCTGCCAGAATCAACATGTTAAAAGGATTCACTTTGTTTCATTTTGGTGAATACTCATATAATAATAATATAATCAGATAAAATTAAAAGACAAATATTTGCATGTAAGTATTATTTAAATTAGAAAAATAGTCTTGCGACATATCTGCATGAACTTTCTTGAGGAAGTAAATTTGTAATCCATATTATGAGCAACATCCTTACTGAAGTTTTATGATGCTGACTTTTGGAGTAATGTTAAATTCTTAGTGTACCCAATTCCTAGGTGTTTTGGGCAGAGGCTTTTAAACTTATGTCATTAGGAATTTTAGAATGTCTCAGGGAATTGAGAAGTAGCTGGGTGCTGATGACCAGCTGAAGCTCAAGTATAGGGTACTGCTTTGCAGGATGTGGCTTTTTGAACATTTGTAAAGAAAATCGGAATGTTCATTTAAAAATGCAGCTCGTTGGCTCTACCTTATACCAGATGAATTTTCCCCGGCTAGACCTGGAAATTTGTATTTAAAGAAGAATCTCTCAACTCCCAATGATTGTTGTGTATGCCAGATTTTGAGGATTACTCATAATTTGGATAGTCAGGCTCACGTAAGGGAAAATGCTAGAAGTGAAGAAAGCTCAGACAATTCAAAAGTCTCACACGTTGTTTTCCTTTCTCCTCTAGGCCTCTCCTTCCATTTTATGAACAGATACCATTCAGTGTTGTTTTTTCAGAAACCAAGTAAGTAACCGTTATTTTAAAACTTTTACCAGTTTATTTATTGTGTGCTACCATATTTGTCTGCAGAAGATAATTCTCTCAATTTTTTAAAATGTGGACCACAAACTGTTAGAAGGTCTTCTAGTGGTTCATGAGCGGCATTTAAAAACTAGCATTAGAATTAGAAAATAATTAAAAGCATTAGACATATTGAGGGTTTTTTTTGCTTAAAACTTTTCCTTTGAATAGACATATACATATCTTTATATGTATATTTAGGGAATGCACTCCTTTTTATGGTCTAGCTTTCACTCAAATATGATATAAATATTTATCTATGTTTCTGTTAGTTCTTTATAGTTTCACTTCTACATTAAATATTTTAATGTGCAAGGCACAAGGAAACTTCTACACAATTAGTCAAATGATCTTAGGATTAATTGTTGACTCATCTATTCAGAAAAAGGATTGCTTTTAAAAAATCAGAAAACATCTCTTCTTTTTTCCTTTTTCTGTTTTTCTGGAGGGAAATAACTAAAATTGAGTGTGTTACAAAAATAGGGAAGAAAGAAACTAGGGAACGTAGCTATCCTGAACAGGTTCAGAAGCAATTGCATGATATCTTAGGGTACCCCTTTTATGGATCTGTGCTCCAGGCCTGCCCAGTTATACACAGAAAGATAGGCACTTTAGTGAACACACCTAGTTTTTTTTTTTTTTTTAAAGATTTATTTATTTATGCATATAGAGCTGGGGTACAGGACAGAGGTGCAGGGGCAGTTAGAGGATGCACCAGAGACAGAGTGGGGAGCAGAACAGGCAGATCGATGAAGCACACTGCTGAGGGGAGCAGCGGGCTGGTCAGGAGAGGTCTGCCACGCCATGTGGATCACCTCTGGGCGGGGACTGAACTCATGCTGAAGTGGCTTTAGCTTCTTAGTGCTGTGTCTTAACCTGCTGTACCACGAGGTACAGACCTAGGTTTTTAATACTCCTTCAGTTTCTTGGCAGAGGTAAGAATAAGGTAATTTGTTCAAGATTATTGGGTATAATCCTGCCTCCCAAATAACTATGTGCCTGTGTTTTTAAAGGTTAAGTGGATTTAGTGAAGCACAAGGATTTATTTCCCTTTGATTATATAGTATTATAGTCATTATGCAAAGTCTTAATTTTTACAGATTTATTTATTTATGCATATAAGAACTGGGGTACAGGCCAGAGGTGTAGGGGGTGAGAGAATTCACCAGAGACAGTGGGGAGCAGGACAGGCTAATCAAAGAAGTATACTGCTGAGGAGAACAGTAGGTCGATCAGGAGCAGTCGGTCTGCCGCATCAGGTCTTAATTTTTAAAATAATTTTTCTTTCAGCGCAGAATCATATACTTTTCCTCCTTCTCCTGCTCAGTACCCACCCATCCTTATGAAGACATCAGTGGGCACGCAGACTGATTATCGGGATGCTGAAGCTCAAACAGATCCATATTCTCCAGAATATGTAATATGTCAGGACTCAATCCCTGAGCTCTTGACCCTGGCTACTCTTACTTGGGGTGAGTTGGTAATTCTCTTACCCATTCCCAAATGACCATGTGTGCTGCTGAGTTCCTGGAAATGACACACATGGAGGCAATAGTGATTTAAACTGCTGATATTTAAAATGTCTTGCTCAGGAGAGCTATTTCATAGAGTCATACTTTTTATATGTTGTTGACTACTCACCTGCCCTATTGATTCCTACTTCAGAACACAAACCAAAATCAATCTCAGATAGCAAATTTTTTTTTTCATTTTTTTTTTATTAAAAAGTTTATTTTTACATCATTTTTCACATTTTTTTTTT